GGGGGTCCAGGGGGTCTCCATGCGCTGCTGCCCGCAGGTGCCGCCCACGCAGCTCCCATTGGCTGCAGTTCCCAGCCAATGGGAGCTGCGGAGTAGGCACTCTAGGCAGGGGCAGCGTGCAGAGACACACACCCACCCCCCGGGGCCGTAGGGCCATTCCGACCGCTTCCAGGAGCAGCACGGAGTGAGGGAAGGCAGGAAGCCTGCCTTAGCTCCACTGTGCATCTGGGGGCCCCTGGGCCCTTTTAAATCGCCCTGGCCCCTGGGCAATTGCCCCCTTTGCTGCCCCCCCCCCCGCCCATCAGCAGGCCTGTTGACATCAGTGGACCTACACTGATTTACTTCAGCTGAGAATGTGGCCCAGTAACTTTCTATACCATGGCAAGGGCCTGTTCTGTTGCAGTCTCAGCAGACAGTGCTGTAGCATTTCTCAAGGTAGGACTTCACACTCTTGATCAGAAGATCATGAGTTGATATCCAGTGACCAGGTCTTACAGATGGTACCTCCCCAGGGCTGCATCTATTGCAGTGCAATACAGGAGAAAACCTAGGCTTTTAGAGAACTTGTCCAAAGGAAAAGTTAAACTGAAGTCTCTTGTGGCTATTCAGATAGAAATTAGAAGTCCCATAGAACTAAATGCTGCATTTAACCTTCTATCATGTGCCCATTTAGAAGCATAGGACTGGAAGGGACCTTGAGAGGTCATCTAGTCCAGTCCACGGCACTCATGGCAGGACTAAGTATTATCTAGACCATCCCTGACAGGTGTTTGTCTAACCTGCCCTTAAAAATCTCCAATGACGGAGATTCCGCAACCTTCCTAGGCAATTCATTCCAGTGCTTAACCACCCTGACAGTTAGGAAGTTTTTCTTAATGTCCAACCTTAAACCACCTTTGCTGCAATTTAAGCCCCTTGCTTCTTGTCCTATCACCAGAGGTTAAGGAAAACAATATTTCATCCTCCTCCTTGTAAAAATATTTTATGCACTTGAAAATTGTTATGTCCCTCCTCAGTCTTTTCTTTTCCAAACTAAACAAACCCCTTTTCAATCTTTCTTCATAGGTCATGTTTTCTAGACCTCTAATCATTTTTTGTTGTTCTTCTCTGGACTTTCTCCAATTTGTCTGCATCTTTCCTGAAACGTGGCACCCAGAACTGGACACAATACTTCAGTTGAGGCCTAATCATCACAGAGTTCAGAGGAAGAATTACTTCTCGTGTCTTGCTTACAACACTCCTGCTAATACAACCCAGAATGATGTTTGCTTCCCCCTCCCCCTTCTTCTTCTTTTCAGCAGTGTTACATTGTTGTCTCTCATTTAGCTTGTGATCCACTATGACCCCCAGATCTCTTTCTGCAGTCTTCCTTCTTAGGCAGTCACTTTCCATTTTGTATAATAGGGTGATGAGCACATATCAGTCAACCACAAGGTAAATTTTTTTCCAAAAGATTGAGGGATGACACCAGTGCCCTGGTAATCTTCCTTTTCTAAGCAAGTTCTCTGAAGGACACACATGAGAAGCACACTTTAGATAAGATCACTAAGTAACAGGAGAATATAAGGGTGGTGTTTAAAACATAAACACAGCCCCTTGCTAAAATCCAAGTGATGTTATGAAGGTATGGGGGTGGGAAAATAAAAGGCTTGAGTAATAAGAATATCTAGTCTTACTTTTCATCCAGATATTTCCAAGGAAGGCCCTGATCCACAAAGGTACTTAAGTGCCCCTAAACCCTACACTTTGGTGCATAAGGGCTTGTCTACATGGCACTGCAGTGTGGGCTACAGGGGGATGAATTGTGAGTGTTGTAACGTGTGGTGCTCTAACTGCCCTGTGCAGACCCTGCCTAGCTCTCACTGATGTAGTCCAGTTTCAAACAGGACTACACTGACATGAACTCTGTACCTTTTAGTTCATGCCAGCAGGGGCTACATGGGGCAGTTAGAGCACAACACAGAGGGGCTCCACAATTCATACCCCATCGTCCAGAGTGCAGTGTTGTGTAGACAAGCCCTACATCTGGGGTGGCACCTTAGTGGCAGTTTTAGGCTGAACCCTGTAAAGCAACAAAACTCAGTGCCTAAGTTTTCAGGGTAAAAGTTCCCTAGGCACATGTGCTGCTGCCCCGCTCTAGGTGTCCAGACACCTATCTCCCATCTAGGCCGCCACATGATCCACAACCTGGGGGAAGACAGGCATTCCACCGCCTGACTCAGGTGTAGGCCCAACCCACTAGGGGTGCTCAAAGGCTGCCTACTACATTGAGTCCTGTTCAAAAGCTGGCAGTGGTGTCACCACCTTATAATCGTAGTGGTTACAGCACTCACCTGGAATGTGGGAAACACAGGTCATTCCCTCCTCGAGAAGCGGGGAGACCCCTGTTCAACTCCTAGGAAGGTGCGCTAACCCCTGAGCTATGGAATTCCCACAGCCTTTCCTCTAGCGCAGCTTCAACTCTGGATTAACTACTTAGAGTAATTGAGAGAGAGAGAGAGAGAGAGGCTGGCTGTGTGGCCTGGGAAATGGCAAACCCAGGGTGCAGTCCCCCTCGCTCCACTCAGTCTTTAATTGTGTATCATATTGGAACAGCTTCCAAAGGAGAGACTGCGGGAGCCCCACCTCAGAATATCCCAATGCTCTTCTGAGAGGGGGGAGACCCCCTGTTCAAACCCTCTTGGCCTGAGGCGGGAACTGAACCTGTGACAGCCACATCCCAGGTGAGCACGTTAACCCCTGGGCAGGAAGCTATTTGGTGGCAGGGGCACCTTCTCTTCCTCTGGCTATTTTCTGTGGAGTGAGACAGGGACCTAGTGCATTCTCACAAGAGAGAACTCGGGCACCCAGGCCATCTGACTGCAAGCGAGGGGTTCCTGCTTGTGGATCGCTAGTGAGATAGGCCCCTCCTCCAGCCCAGAGTTAGGCACCTAACTCTGCAAGAGGGGTGGGGGCTTAGGACACATGCCTCTCACTGGCTACTTTAGGCAGCGCTCTGCCTAGTGTGCTGGCTTTTGTGGATCATATTTGAAGGTGCCTATCTCTCTCCATTCATGGTATCAGGCTCCTAACTCAAGCTCTGTAGATCGCAGTGTTGTTCCTGTAACTTTCTAGGTGCCATGACACTTAGCATTACAACACCCGAGTTCCGTTGTGGACCCAGGACAAAATGCTTTATAAAGGAGGGCAGCATCATTATCCCCATTTTACAGATGGGGAAAACTGAGGCACAGAGCAGGGACATGACCTGCTTAGGGTCACACAGCAGGCCAGTGACCAAGCTAGACTAAAACTCTTGCATCCCAGTCCAGTGCTCAGTACACTAGCCCATACTGCTACCCACTACATCATTCTGAGTAGTGGCTATTAGTGGCCCATCAACCACTATGGTTCTGACTTGCAGGCTGGAGTTCACCTGCACAGAGCCCAAATACTCACTTCCCCCCATCTGAAAGCTGGGAATAATAATACTGGTCTACCTACCTACCTCACAGAGATGACATGGGAGAGAAAAGATGTTTGTACAGTCCCTTGCCATCCTGGATTTAAGACCTGGAAGTTTAACGTATAATTATTAATTCCCAGGGTTGTACGTGAGCTGTTGTTGAGGGCATAGTAGATGCATGGTAGATGCCCACCCACATTGCACTACTGCTGACATGTTCTGTGTGATGCCTGGAATGAAATATAAAACCAAATTTTGTTCTAGTCTTTACAGAGGCCGAAAGTCACGCATTACAATCAAGTAATCTTGGGAAGGAATTGGCTATTCCTATTACTAGATCAAAGCCTCCCTTATTCAAGACAAGTGAGTCTTTGCTGTCCTGCAGTCAAGATGTTCTTGAAGCATGAAAACCCTCTTAATGAGTGTTATGCAACATAATGGTCGGTCACTGCTGCTCATCTGCTCTGGAGTGGTTACGTTCTACGGACACTTCGATTAAAAAAAGCTGACAAAGGACATTTCAGGCACAACCCAACAATTACAGAGGATGTGCTATAACAGATGGAAAAACCTGGATTTGTTGCTGGATTCAAAGATCCTTGGTGACAGCTCAGTTGGTAATACTGGAGTTGTGCCTAATTTAAACAAAAAACCTTGGGTGCCCAATTCCCTCCCCCGCTTCCACTTTCAGTGATGTGATTCAGAAGTATCTTCTTTGAAGTCAATGGTGTAAGTGAGAGCAAGATGAGTGTGTGAAAATCATGTATTGATCTGAAATATCTTTCTAAGGGAAGCAGCATTTCTCTCTGTATAAGGAACAGGATTGGAAGTTCTGTAAAATAGGAATAGTAGCACTTACCTATCTCTGTATAGTGCTTGGAGGAGGCAATATGTAGTAAGTGAACTGGCTAAAAATCTACTTTTCTCCATTATACAGGTGGTCCCTCCATTTTAAAGTTGAGGTCTGTTGACAGGGTAGTGTGGGGAAGCTGTCACTGTTGCTTCCAAAGATGTTCTGTGGATACAGGACTACAGCCATCAAATCTGTTAACCTGGTACGTCTCTTGAGCACTGAAATTAAGAAAAAGAAGGGAAAAATCTGTCAAATAGCAGAAAGTCATATGGAATTTTCTCTGTCTCTGCACAAAACCTTTGAAACTATGTTGAAGGCTATGATCCTGCAATGTCAGGGGATTGACCTGATGACCTAATAGGTGTTTTCCATCTCTAGTTTCCATGCTTACAAGTGTGGCATCAGAAAGGGCTTTATCTACAGATGGCATCTTGCAGATCATGTTACACTCAAGTCTGAGTGAATAATCACTGAACTCTGTGCCAAACTCGCTGATGGAGGAAGTGGGCACGACTTCGTTAGAGGTAGCTGAGTTAACTCAAATGCCTTCACAGGAGGTATCATTTGATCACAGAGCATCAGGCATCAGCAGGAGTGGAGACGCCATGTAATGTATAGAGCAAAAAGACATCAGCATAAGTAAAATGAGTGGCAGCTAAAACAGTAACCAAAGCAACAGTTATAACGAGACTTTTCTGTGTGTTTTGTCCTCCTGGCAATTCGACAAAACAAATCTTGCTGGCTCTCTCATTCAAGTTCAAATTCCCTATTTATGTATCTGCTTTTACCGTCTAGTTATTATGCTGTGTAACTGAAAATGCGGTTTACATTATTCAAATTAAATACATAATTACTGTTGCTATCAGTAGAGGATTCTGGGCTCAAAGTACAATTGATATGGAAATCCCAAGATTGTGGATCCACCCATTCTCTGATGCATTCAGATCTCGAATGACTTCCCAACATAGTCAATGGCAAAATTCCCACTGACTCCTATAATACACACTTGGGCTTTAACAGACAACAATTCATGATATTATCTAAATACAATACAGCTTTCTCTCTCCAGCTCTTTCATCAAGCCAACTCAGTAAGATACGTTATTCCTTCTAGCTGGGTGACATTTTCTATCTCCCCTGTTTCCAACTGAAATGTGGTTTATCATATTGCAGATGTTGGAATGACACATGCTCACCTGAGTCACACAAGTAAACCAGATGAGAAGGGTTTGGCTCAGTGTCGATTTAGCCAACCTAGATGGTAGGAAGTAGCATGCAAAGAGGTGGTCTTCATCTTATGCCCCAATTCTATTCTTCGTTACATTGGTGTAAATCCAGAGTCACTCCATCAAGCCCAAGGTAGTTACTCTAGATTTATGACTTGCCTAAATGAGATCAGAATTCTGGCCTTCTGACTTAAACCTAAGAGTCCAAAATCACAAGAATATTTGCTCCTACACAACCTGAGGACCCAATTCGGCAACCTTTACTCACATGAGTACTCACTCGTGTGGATATCTAGTTACATCAAAGTTGGCACTTTCTTGACCAGCTTAACAAAGAGGCCAAGGTATGAATGGGCAAGGAGACTGAATTACTTTCCCTTTCATTAGAGGTGGTCTCTGTGTGTTAGAGTTGACAGTGCAAGCAGGAGGGAAACTGTGGGTAAAAGAACTGTAAGAAGTACTGTGTTTGTAACCTATGCTACAGAACATGGGTTGGCTCTGCCTACACTTCCACTGTAGTCTCTGGTTCAAATCCTCGTGATGGATCACTCAACTTCCTGGAAACAAAATCTTCTAAAAATGATATCACCTGGAACCAGAAACCTAGAAGAGCAACACCCAAAATATTAACTAGCTTCCCTTCCCACTATTAAGTACATTTTAAATATATAGATAGAGGGCAAGAGTTTCAAAGGTAGCTGAGGTCAATTATGTGCATGCATTTGTATGTGCCTAATATATGCAGCCCTAAATGGCCGTACACATTGGCAAACAGCTGATCTTTGGGTAAGTGCTTTAGATATTTGTATGTGTGAATTATGTGCACACAGATAATTACACTTGCATGACTTTGAAATCCTGGCTTTATTATAGTGTATTGTGAGATAGCCCCACAAAACTGCTTTAAACTTGTTGCGGACTCATAAAGTGCTGTACAGGTGCCTTCAAATATTTTCAAAGTCACTGAATGTTACTGGAAAAGAAAGCTGCTTTTTGGTGAAAAGACCAAGAGCTCTGGGGGCATTTATTTAATATTCAATAGGAATAGTCCTAAAAATTCAGTGCATGCATTAAAAAATGTCACTGCACAAAGGTGCATTGTTGTTGCCCACTGTTTTTCAGGTCCTGCTGCTTACTAAAGACACAAAAATGCTGCCTCAAGATTTCTGCTACTACTGTAAATGATTTTGGTGCACAAACCCCAAAGATTGCCTGCTATCCATGATAATCTGTTCAAAACCTGTTCTCCCACAGGCTCAAGTGAACTAATAGTATGTTATTTGAAAGAATGGCATTGTTTGAGGAAGACTCTGCTGGAGATTCGGGTTATGTTATCTCTGTGCCAAAGCAAGAATGTTAGCACAAAGCAGCACTGGTTTTTAAAAATAAAAAATAAAAACCCACCAACCCAGCCTCCTGTAATTGACAAAAACATTTCACAAGTGAGTAGTGTGGTGGATGGGTTATTGGAGGGGAGGGGAGGGGCGGAAGAGATCACAGAAAGAAAAATCTAGGATCCGATTCTGCCACTCATCCTCACGTTGAGTCATACATTGCTCCATGGATGGGACAACTTACAGAACAAGGTACTACTTAATGTAAGTAAGGGAGGCAGAATCTGGGTTACCATCAACTTCTTTCCCATGTCCTATTATTCAAGTATACTTTGACATTGCTGTTATTCATTATTGATATTGCAACAGCACTTAAAAGTCCCTACAGAATCAGGGTCCTACTGTACATAGGCAGTATACAGACAATCTACACAGAAGCAGACCATGTCTGAACGATCACCGGTCTCTAACCCGAATCTATGGTCCTCAGGCAGGCCTCAGACCACAGCAACTGCCCGGTAGCTTGCTGGACCCTCGTTCACCATACGTACCACCCACAAAACTCCCGACTGGAGGAGATGTGTAGCCTCTCTGGCTCGGACTCACTATTTAAGCCAGAAGGAGGGACAGAAAGTTGTCTGAACAGCTGCTTGGGGAATCTTGGTCTTGCTGCTACATTGGACACTGTTTTCTTGCCTGACTTCTGTTGTTGTTCCAGATCCCTGCTTCTACGCCTCACCTCTAGCTAGTGGTTTGACTCTGGCTCTGACCCCCAGCTCTGGTTTCTAGTCTGGTCTGCCCACCAGGCCTGACTACCTATATCCTGGTCCATTACAACAGTCCCCAGAAAGCTCACAGGCTAGGATTTAGCAGAGCCGGACTAGATCTGAAGCCAAATTTTCGAAAACTGGTCTCACATTTTGCAACTGCAAAATGTGGGTGCAGATAATGACAGGTGGAGTTTGGGGATGCTGTTATTTAGGCCCCCCACTTACTGTCACCCGACAAGCTAGGTATCTGGTTTGTGGCTGCAGATTCTTAATTTTAAGTGACCCAAACTGTTTCTGAAAATAAACAGGGGTGGAAAATTATACTCACATGCTTAATGGGGTGCAGTGAGAGAAACCTGATAAAGTTAGCCCTGGAACGCCACATCTCTATCCATTACAATTATTTGTATCACTGTAGCACATGGGTGGGCAAACCTTTTGGCCTGAGGGCCACATTGGGTTTAGTAAATTGTATGGCGGGCCGGTTAGGGGAGGGGGTCGTGGCCCAGCCCCCACCTCCTATCTGCCCCTCCCCCCTGGACTCCTGCCCCATCCAACCCCACCCCCCGCTCACTGTCCCCTGACTGCCCCCGGACTCCCGCCCCTGACTGGCCCCCACCGCCCCATCCAACCGCTCCTCTCATTCCTGACAGCCCTCCCAGGACCCCTGTCCCATCCAACCACCCCTTCTCCCTGTCCCCTTACTGCCCCTGGAACCCCAGCCCCTGACTGCCCTCTGCCACCCCATCCAACCCCCCCTCCTTCCTGATTGCCCCCTGGGGACCCCGTCCCCATTCTACCCTGTTTCCCCCCGATCACCATCCACACCCCAGCTCCCTAACCATCACCCCGAACTCCCCTGCCCTCTATCCAACCTCCCCTGCTCCCTGCCCCCTTACCACGATGCCTGGAGCACTGGTGGCTGGCGGCGCTACAGCCGTGCCGCCCAGCTGGAGCCGGGCCACGCTGCCGCCACCATGCAGCTCAGAGCACCGGGTCAGGCCGGGCTCTGCAGCTGTGCTGCCCCAGGAGCTCACAGCCCCGCCGCCCAGAGCATTGCGACGGCGGCAGAGCGAGCTAGCTGAGGCTGCGGGGAGACAGCAGGTGAGGGGCCGGGGGTGAGCCTCCTGGGCCAGGAGCTTGGGGGCTGGACAGGACGGTCCCGTGGGCCAGATGTGGCCCACGTGCTGTAGTTTGCCCACCCCTGCTGTAGCACCTAGGAGCCCTAGTTATGGACCAAGTCCCCATTGTGCTAGGTGCTGTACAAACACAGAACAAAAAGACAGTCCCTGCTCCAAAGAGCTTGCAATCTAACTACAAGACAAGACAAGACATCACAAATGGATACAGACAAACTGATGGGGGGAATACAAGGAAACAGCATGGTTAGCTTGATAGGGCACTGGTATTCTCACAGCCTAACTGCTGTCAAATTTTTTTAGGCATCATGGCAAAGAGGAGTTTTGAGGAAAGACTTGAAGGAGGAGACGGAGTCAGTTTTGCAGATGTTTATAAGGAGCTCCTCCCAACTGAGGGACAGCATAGGAGAAAGCACACAGGTGTGAGTCAGCGCCAAACATATGGCAATGGATGTTCATAGATAGATGATCATAGATTCCAAGGCCAGAAGGGACTATTATGATCGTTTTGTTTGACCTCCTATATAACACAAGCCATAGAACGTACCATAGCACTGCTTGCTGCAGGAATCCATACTCCTTGCCCATCCTCTTTCCTATAAGATCATATTTAAGTATACTGTAACTATGGCTTTTTCCATCCAGGACGCATCCCTGCAGTTTACACCCAGGAGTTGCTGGGCAAGACAGAGCTTCCAGACAGACTGTTGCAATATTCCCTTTTGGTACATATTACAACAGAATATT